TACCCTGAGTAACCCCTTGCAGGACTTCAAATTGGGCAATGAGCAAATTCCGCATGAAGGAACTTTCATAGGTGGCACTCGGAGCGCAGTCAAATCAAGTCGAGCCTCGCGGGACTTGTCCCTGGATATGGCCCAATCTGGGTTCATATATTAAGGCTGTAATCACCCTGTGCTGGCATGGCGCACTGCTCCTTTTCAGCCTGATGACTTGGAAGCTGAAGCGGTGCTAATACAAATGAGCCTGGTAAGTGGTCCTGCGTGGGGAAAGTCCCCCCGGACATCAGGCTGAAATCAGAGGATTCGTGTTGTCTGGTCATCTGCGTTCCTGACCCATAATATAAAATAAGATTCGAATAACATGAAAAAGTGTCATTCAGAAGCAACCTGAAGGTAAGACACTCGTTCCCTCCTCTGTTTAATCGTCATCACACACTTCAGTTTAGGTGCTCAAACTGTTTGTCTGTCCATCTGCATATACACTGCAGGAAGCAATGCGACAGCTATCCTGATAAAAAAAAAAAAATTGACCAAATTATTATTTCTATTCAGTTATTTGATTTTGGACGGTCATAGCTGAGGTCTTGGGGTTTGGATTTGGAGGACACGAGTCCCACTACGGACAGTTTTTTAAATTTTTTGGCATTGGCAACTCAAAGTACACCTCAGCAATGTGCAGTGAATTTTACCTTAATGGACACCAACGCGAATAGAATAAATTCAAATATTCTCCCATTCAAAAAGCTGCGCAGCAACTGGCCTGTTCTCTGACGGCTACTTTGTACTCACCGTTCTCTTTTTGTCACAGTCTGTGTTTCGGTGAAGAATTCCCCACAACCAGTCGTTTGGAAAATGAATGTGCGCGGCTCACTTTGAAAAAGCTATTTGGAAAAGTAAACCAAAGGCAAAACATTGTGTTTCTCTTTCTCTGCCCCCCTTCCTGGTGCAAATGCGGCACTTCATTATACAATTGTGCATGCAATTATACACGGGCGACAAGGCGGGCAGACAGAACGCGTGTGGAAGTCATCACCTCCAATTATTTAGGAGGGGAAAGCAACGGCACCCATTTCACAAAGCTTTCCTACCAAACGTAAAATGGTGAACGTGTAGCTCGTCACCATCCTTCTCCCTCTTTGTCTCCTTACAGCAGGAGGTAGACAACCGGAGAGCCGTTGTCCTGCCTGTTTTCGAAGTTTCCCAACTTAACATGCCTGATTCTAACGATCGGGGGCCATTCGCAGGCCTCGACAGATCTTGCTGGTGAGCCGATGATTTGAATCATGTGCGGTGAGGTGGGAAACTTCGAAAACAGGCGGGAGAGCAGCTCGCGAGGACCCGAGTTTCAAACCACCGCCTCATAGGTTCTTTCTTCCCTCCAATAAATTTGTCTCAACATGGATGTTGTTGAACCTAAAGATTTTTTTTTTGTAAGCCAGAAAGATTTCTCATTAAAGCTTTGCAACGTTTTAGTTGACTTTGCAATTTTAACCAGCCCCAGAGAAGTGAGCACGTGATTTCAAGCAAAATGAAGTCCATAGTATCGGATGTGCGTACGACAGAAGGGGTTCCAAGGAAAAGACATGTAATTGCTTAACTCCTCTCTTTATCGGATTCTATTGGAGTCGTAGTGTCAATTCTTGCTGCGCTGAGGAAAAAAAAATAAATGAGAGAAAGATTGAATCCAGCAACTGCCAGGTGGGACAAAGCGCAAACCAGCTGGGAGACGGAACAGCTGCTACCAGTAGCTCAGGTGTTTAAGCTAATGCGCTTCAACCCTTCAACAGCCACTTGTCCCAGCACTACTTCCCGTACCAACTGATGTTAGCATCTTTCAAATGAGATGAAGATAACGCTGCTTGCACAGAAAACTGCCAAATGGGAAAATGAGGTCAAATAAGGTCTTGTGTCCACTGCCGAAGCCTAAAAACGGTTGCTGAAGTCGACAGTCTACATACGTTGTTGGTGGTGTCCCGTTCAAAACGGTGCTGCATGCGGCCCAGGCAAAGCTGTTTGTCCAGTGTTGAAAAGGTGTCTTCGATTTCTGAAGGTCAATAAGATCTGTCTCTGTCACACACGATGAGTTCAACACTTTGTATTGCTAATTTCAATAGAGGACGTTACAAAGGCATCATCGTGTGGCGTCGATCGTATCTGCCTCAACTCACAGTTGAATATCTGTGTGGCACTGGCGTGCTCTCTTAGCGTTTGTGTGGGTTTTCCCTGGGTACTCCTGTTCCCTCCCACGTTCCAAAATACATCCAGCCATCCATTTTCTAAGCCGCTGATCCTCTTTCGGGTCACAAGGGTGCTGGAGCCTATTCCAGATGACTTCGGGCGAGAGGCAGCCAATTGCAGGGCAGATACTGGATCGTCAAACGGAGGCAAACAACCATTCACACCCACAATCGCACCAAAGGACAATTTGGAGTCTTCAGTCAACCTAATCTCAAATCTGACAAAGGGTTTTTAAAATGTTGAGCCAAAAGCAAAAAGAGAATGGATTGGATTTAGAAAAAAAAACAAAGATTGTAGCGCTACTCATTTGTCAAGAATTCTGATGCGGCAACACCTCTACTTGCGCGTTAACTGTATGCATTTTTCTCAGGGAAACCAGCCCCCTCAATTGGGATGTTTTTCTTTTTTTTTAATTTTGTACGAAATGCAGTACACATATAAAACACATGAACAGAAACTGACCCGAGTAAATATTTTGAATACAAATATAAAATCGTATCTTTGCTTCTCTTCTGAAATAGGCTTAAATATTTACACACCAACATGACACGACGGGTGCGTGCTTCTCTCATTCAAATTCAAACAGAGGATCGCGGTGCTCTCTCGGGACACCTAAAATGCTTCCGAGCTCGCAAAAAAAAATAATAATAATAAAATCACCTTCCTCCGACCTAATAACATCAACAGTGAGCTACCACTACACGCAACAAAATTATATATATATATATACTGTATATACACACACACACACACACACACACAATTGAACATTTAAACTCTGTTGACAACATCCTGGAAAAGAAATAGACAAGTGAAGAGAAGCCCTCTCACACGACTAGGTGGGCCGAAGAGAAAGGACAAAGCTGTGGCTGAACAAGTAAACACAGTTGTTCCCCGACTGTGGAGGGCTTAGCCGCTTTGTCCATAAATGTTTGGTGTTTTGTTAGGAGATGGTGTTGGAGATAAGCTAGTTTCATGTAGACATTGCTCAGCACTCGGGGCCCTGCTTCCTTTCCCCGCGCTCCCTCGGCTCCCTCGCCCATTCACAAATCGCACTCGGTCACCTTCGTGAAACGACGGAACTCCTGCACAATCGGCTCAACGCAACTGCAGCCTTGCAAGAACATTCAGCGATTATTTCAGGTACCAGCACTGAGCCCTGCCTCGTGCAAGCGAGAATCACTGCTGTGAAACAAAAACATACTCTTAAGATAAAATGAAATAATAATAATAATAATAATAATAATAATAATAATAAAGAAGCAAGAATAAATATTTGGAATTTTAGGGATGCTAAGATTCAATTTAGGGAAAATGTTTGTCATGTTTTGGATCCCCAAGATGCAGACATAGACAAAAGGAGACCACCAAAAATGTTTATGATTGAAAACGCAAAACTGACGCAGTCTAAACAGAAAGTCACAAGGAGCCAGGAGAAACCAAGGTATAAACAAAAACTGCCTGCAAAAGGCAAGGTGAAGTAACAACAAAATGACAATAGTCCAATTTACATGAAAAACAAGAACAAGATGAAAAAGCCTCAAGAACACCAACACTTACAAAACGAGGAACTCAATGGAGAGCACAATGACGATGAACGAGATTGAGCGGTCTCGAAAACAACACTTGAGCAGAATCCGCCAATGACTCGGCAGTTTGGCAGTCTGGAAACACACGGCAGGCTTAATTGTTCAACGCGGAACAGGTGCGCCTGCTGGAGGGAAACGCCCTTCACCCCAGCCGGCCGGGGCTGTCAAAAAAAAACAAACAAACAGACACGAGCGAAAGAAAATGCTCGCCGAGAAAGGTAGTAAAGGGCCAAGGCGAGCCTGTGATAAATCCTCAAGTGATACAAATTAATTTTAGCGCAGATTGAAATGAGTCAACAGAGGGGCCGCGGCAGGTAATCCAGCGTTAATAAAGGCAGAAGATGCTATCCGCAGCGCCCGAGCCATCGTGCCACTAAATGAGATGAAGTCAAGTGCAGTGGGGCCAACGGTCCACATCGAGCGTCTCCGGGATGCCATTAATAGCGCAATCTAAATCACTCAGTCGACGCTAAACCTGTCGGATTTGAAGGCTTTGAGATTACAAAGGAAGAAGGCGGGCTCTCCGAAACACAACGATCGCTTCAACCGGAAGATGTTTTGCTTCAAAGAGTCTCTTGTACTTCCGATGTGGTCAGAATGCGGGACGTTGAATGGCCGCAGAGGCTTTCGCGAGGTCGGCGAGTGTCACTAATGACGGCCAGCGACCGCGCTAACAACTACATTATTGTACCTAATGATGCATTGGAATGCATTATGTATGTACATCCTAGACTGATTCTGGAAGATAAAGTGTCCGTCGCTCGAGAAGCTTAATGTGTTTTCAAACCCACACGCGAGGAACCGCCCAGAACTGGCGGTCAGGAAAAGTCAAGCTGGATGTAAAACCCAGGTTACGTTAGAGTGCGCTATCGATTGGTCTTCACGTCAAACGCAACGCCGATGCCCTCGAGGTATCGAGAGAAATAAACAGTACAATCAATCCCACGTGCGGGTTTTTGAGGCGTTTAGGGATTAACGAAGCTCAGAAAGACTTAAAGGGGAGCCGTTAGTTAGAATGTTGGAGGGGAGTTTGCCATCAACCTTTCACTCGTCCCCCCCACCCCAGCTGCTGCGGCAATGAATTTTCAAAGCGGGAGGGTTGGAGCCGGAGCTGCTGCGCCAATGATTTTTAAAGGCGGCAGGTTGGGAGCCGGCCTTCTGTTAGCTGCCATAAAGTCCTTTTCTTAATGTGAGTTGGCCTTTCGCCATCAATTCCAACCCGGGGGGGCACCAAATCTGCACAACCGCGTAAGCGTATTTTAATGGCCGTTCTACTCCAAATATTTTGGAATATGAACACGTCACTGCACAAGCAGTGAAATAATCTGTCGGGTGCTACAACGCAAAAAAGTCAAAGAAAGAAAAAAAAACAACACAGGACCGAAAAGGTAATTTTCAACTTTGTTTTTTCATGCTGTCAGAACGTGGAATTGACATGGAATGGCTATTCCAGAGGTGCATCAACCAAGAGGGGGGAAAAAAAAACAAAACAATCTGTACTCCTTTCCATCATGTTTGCGTCTCTGACGGGAGTCTGCATTTACCAATTCACTGATATTTGCTTGGAATTTAGAAAACCTGCTGAATAAAACTGAACACACTCCTAAATGGCGCTTTAAATATCAAATCTGAGTTGCTCTCCGGGCATCCGAAAGTTGATATCTTTATCCTCTATCCAAAATGCGTGTTCTTCATACATTTCATTTGTTAACATTTTTCAATGCACTATCCTAACCCAACAACAAAATAACTCCGCACTCGGGGCTCTCTTCCATAAAAATGGCAATTCAAGGATGGCACAAAACTGCTGAACAACAAAGCAGCATGAAGTGCAAGAATTCATTTTCACCAAAACTAATCCATTCAAAATTTTTATATTATTGCGTTTGTCTTGCATATCAATCCAAATTCACAAAAAAAAAAAAGTTTTAGGCCTACTCACGTTGGAATATAGCGCAACTAAGACATAACTGCCTCCTAGTGTTGAATGATGATATTACAACTTCAAACTGCAGTCGACTCCTGCTTAATTGTGGATTTTGCTTTTTTTTTCTGTTCATGTCCTCCAATGTTCTGACTTTCCATCAACGGCGCCTTCCTTTTCATTGAAAAGAAGGCGTGTATTTCAACTCGTCGCTGTGTATCGTGAACGTCGTGCTGGTACGAGTCGCACAGGAGCCTCATGCGCTGCGTTAAGACAACGTATACGCATGCTTCCAAACAACAATAGTGTGCAAATAAGCTGCGGTGAGCGCGAGCTCACTCCTCAGATGCTTATTGCCTAAATCTCTTTCTAACTGGCAGGGAATCACATAATTGGCCGTGGTCCATTTGCTCATCCGTGTGTGTGTGTGTGTGTGTGTGTGTGTGTCCTCTCTTGAACAGCAGATTTTAATGAATCGGTTTTGCAGTGTTTAGAGCTCCTGGCTATAAGAGGGTCAGGGTGGGAGTGAATGACTCTGACCACTGAGAGACAGCCAAGCATGGATATGTATCGTCTTCCTGGTTTGGGCGCAGTGTGATCGGCTTAATCAAAAACAATCCCGTTTTCTCCCTGCCTGCCTCTCTCCCTCCCTCGCCATCTTTCCGACAGTGTGGGTTGCTCTCTCTCCTCTTGTCTGTTTACGAGGATGCACAGCCTAAAACATCTCCTTCGCATCACGATTTGTCTCCATGTCCACCTAGATGGGGGTGAATGTCAGGTGACGGGAGCATTTACGAATTAGGCTCACTCATTTTTGGGCTCTCTGTCGGGGCATATCCTCTCTTAAAAATTGACAGATTGAGGTGTCCAACTCAAAATGACGATCCTCGCGAAAAACAGTACCCAAACTGTCCCAAGTCGACATGACTGCAGATTCCCTCTTCAACATGTTCACCGTTTTTGTTAGCGTGCGATAGATTGGATTCATTCAGCGCGTTCTCTGTGTCCTCTTCCACCTCCATTCCGAGCACCTCCATCTTCGGCTCATACTGTCATATCATAATCAGCACCATCACCTTTGAGTAGAGTCCTTGCGCTCGCGTTTGGTAATTTTGTTCAAAGTAAGCCTCTGCCGTTGAAAGACAACACTCGCAGCAGTCCGGGAGTGTCGAAATGGTGAATAAGTGTGACGCAATGTTTGGTGCGAGGCGCGGCGGATCTGCATGGCTCACAGCAGTCCACCGAGAGCCAAGTGGGCTGATTTACCATGTCAACTTCTCTAATTCAGCATGTTCTCCGTGTTGGCCAGACAATCCATGTCGGCGGCTTCAAGTCAGCTCCACAAAGACAACTGGCAGTTGGGGGTCTGCCCACTGTGTCACTGGCCATGACACACCTGTCAATCAAATGCAAATAGCAGCAGATACAAGCAAGTGAGCGCTTGTGCTGCTCCACAGAACTCCAGGGTGCTTTTCAACATTCGGCTGGAGAGTCAAAGAAAACAATGGAGGAAAAAAGAAATGGACTCAAAGTGATTGGCTGTCGTCTTTTTTTTTTTTGTGAGTGGAGTTTGTTTTTATGATCAGTCACAAATGAAGGCACTTGAAAATTCAGCACGGTTTGGGAGAGGCGATCTTGTTGGTCAACATACTGTATGATCATATGATGACGCCAAAAAAAGACAAAAAAAAAAAATGCGTTGGGTGTCCTTGCCGGATTATTTGCTCCAGTACGTCCACTTAGCGCCAGCGCAGCATGCACTCATGTTGACTGACTTTATAGGCAACAGAGGGGCGGAATGGACGCCGACATTATTTACACATCCTATAAAAGTGTAATGAGCATCTGAATATGCAACATGGTATGAAGGAAGAACAATGCGATCATTCCCATGCATTTACGCATGGTACTTGATGTCGGCATCTGCTGCCTTAGTAATTGGATCTCGTTTTTATGGCCAATTAGATGGAAAAACAGGGCTGGAGCCGATGCAGGGCGCGAGAGGAGAGAGAGAAGCCAGCGGTTGTCGTGTTACACGGGCAAAAGCAAAGCTGCAACATGTTGGACATCTTCTGTGTTGCTCCAGCAGACGTCCGCAGATGAACGTCCGCATATATTTTCCCTTCCGACAATCACGGGTGCACCTGAAACGTTCCGGCATTCAAAATAAGCTGAGAAAACGTCCAAGCTCCTCAAATTAGTGGATCATGTTAAAACGTAGCTTTTCATCAACCGTTAAAATTTTATGATGGGGGCGGGGGAGTTGATTAAAATATGGAATTCAAGACTTCCAATTTTCTCATCCTAAATGGCATGAACGACGCACTTTTTGCGGAGATATGGAATAACTTGAAGCCATTGAATGCTCTTACCTGGAAGGCCTAATCGTAATTGCTCTCCGACTTTTTTCCTATACAGTAAATAGCCAATTAACTCTGAATGGTAAAGTAATGGCCTCCGGGTGATCATTGTAGCAGAAACAAATCCAATCATTAACTGAAACGAAACAGGTTTTTAAGTTTAATGACAGGTTTCACTTTATAAACTCTTGATTAGTCTCGTTGTGACAAAAGGTTCCCAAACGCATTGCCGTATGGAGGAATGTTGAAAATAGGGGACGCCACCGCCACAGGGCAAACAATGATTGACTTATCACCCCCCCCCCCCCCCCCCCCCCCCCCCCTGATTGACTTATCCCCCCCCCCCCCCACCCCCCTCTCGGTATACATGCATCTTGCAAGGGAGGCTCTTAAGGTTCATGACAAAATAATCGCAGTGTGTATGAATCAATGAACGTGTCCGGTGTCAGCGGCTCCGTCTGCATTTGATGGCGCGCAAAACGAATGGCGGCTTGGCAGTAAAACCAATGACATTAAAGTTAATGCCAGAACATTACTCAGACAATGTGCAAGAAAATAACCGCCATGACAGTTTAGCGGGAAAAGGTCAGAATGGAAATGACTGTTCACTCATTATGCGGCTCCTGAGGCAACTTTTTACTGTCACTCGTTAATTAGTGTCAGGGGCAGTCACCGTCAATTTTTGACTCGTGTGGTTTCGGTCCAGGTGGGAAAGCGCAAGTCGCAAATGTGGCGCCTCATTCGCTATATTAGACCGTAGTTGAGGTGTTTTTTTTACGAACTGCGTCACATCGCATCCACATACCAAAGTACCACGCCGAAAACAACAGGAAGCCCGAAAATATTAAATACCGACCTTTTCAACATGAACATACATTCAGGAGAACGTTAGCGGCAGTGAGACTTTGCATTTTTGTCCAAATGTGATTTATTTTAGAAAATGGGGCTTTTTTTTTTTCTTGAAATTTACCTGTTTACTATCTGAGCTTTGTATTTGTATCACACCTTCCATCCATTTTACAATCCACTTCTCCTCGTGAGGGTCGCAGGCGTGCTATCCCAGCTGGCTTCGGTCAGTAGGCGGGGGACACCCTGAACCGGTTGCCAGCCAATCGCAGGGCACACAGAGACGAACAACCATTCGCGCTCACAATCACATTTCAGAGTGTTCAATTAACCTGCCGTGCATGTTTTGGGAATGTGGAAGTGGAGTACGAGGGGAAAACCCACGTAGGGACAGGGAGAACATGCAAACTCCACACAGGAAGGCCGGAGCTCCACAACCTCTGCACTGTGAGGTCGACGTGCGAACCAGTCAATCGCTGCCCCGTATCCAGATGATTGGATTTTATTTTAACATATTCAAAATGTCTTTTTGACAAGAAAAAAAAACAGTTTGCAACCTTTTGCGACTTTTTGAGAACCCTGACGAAAACCCAACATTCGCGATGTGAGATACAAGGCTTAATGGGTTTCTTTTGGTGGCATCTGCGGTGTCACCAAAACCAAATTCGGTCTTTCGTCAAGGCTCGGTTTTCCTCTGCACACAATCCTCCCTCCATGTTGACTCGCCAAATAAAACAGCAGCTGCGAGCCACGAATCACAAAAGGGGCGGCGGCAGCTACTTTTACTTCGTCTCGTCTTGCCCCAAAGCAAGAGACTCGCTCCTCCATCCCTGCCGCGACGGCACCTCATCATTTGTCGTTGCCCCCGCCCCCTCCTCCTCCTCCTCCTCCTCCTCCTCCTCACTGATGGTCTTCACTAATGTGCATTCCCTTTGCATCTGTCTCCCAACTTATGACTCACTGGTGTCTGTGCTCCATTGTGCACGTGCAGAGACGCAATTGAATTACCGGCACGGCAGAGTCGCAAAATCTTACTTGTGCATATTTGCAAAGAGAGTCGATCGCTTAAAATGTTGACTTTATTGCATCTTAAAGCTCCGGGGTCATCATGTTTGCGCTTGTTGAAATACCGTACTAAAATATCACAACGCTCACTTGCCTGGGCGGGGCTCTTTGGCTGTTTGCATCTGAAACAAGTATTGTAACTATCAAAGATTAAATTGGCATCCATCCTTACATTTTCTAATCCGCGTCTCCTCAATAGGGTGGCGGGCGTGCCGGAGCCTCTCCCAGCCGTCTTGGGGCAGTAGGCGGGGGACACCCTGAACCAGTTGCCAGCCAATCGCAGACGAACGACCATCCACGCTCACAAGCCTGCCATGCATGTTTTTGGAATGTGGGAGGAAACCGGAATACCCAGAGAAAAGCCACTCAGGCACGGTGAGAACACGCTCACTCCACACAGGAAAGCCGGAGCCGGAATCAAACCCTGCACTTCCGCACTGTGAGGCGGACGTGCTAACCAGTCGCGAATGTCCAAATGGCGTTCAAAATGTACAGTTTTCCTGATCCACATGGAAGTCGGCGATAAAAAAATGATTACGCGGAAAACAATGTTCTTTTCAAAGTAACACCGGGCATTGCGTTTATCTCTAAATCTCTAAATAACTAGTGGGCACTCTCAACATCATTTCCCCCGACCGCTTTGTCCGTTTAGTTGAAAGCCGGACGCATGAACCACAATAAGAGTACAAAAATAGCTGCCATTAAAAAAAAAAAAAAAAAAAGGGAAAAGCATGCATTTGAACAACAAGGAAAAAAGGGAAGGAAAAAATGCCGCTGCACAACAGGTCGTCAGACGGGGAGGTCAAAGGATGAACTCCTCGGACAGAAATCATGGCGTGCACGATGCACAACGTATGTGAGAAAGATCCATTTGGAAGGCCTTTCTTTACTAAGTTGGAGCTGGAAGGGGTGCGCTTGCGACTCGAAAGCGTTTTGTTCATCCCAGCTTTGCGGGCCGGATGCCTCCAGGCGCCGAGACGCATTACAGAGAGAAAGGCCCATTTGCAGACTGAAAAACGCCACTCACAAGTCTGTTTGGGGAAAAAATGACATTGCTTCACAACGTCGGGTAATCGTTGCCATTTGACGAAAGGTAGATGAGGGAGTCATGATAGCGAGTTAATGCTCAAGGTGTTGGATGTTTGTGCGAGCGTATGTGACAAAAAAATGCATTGGATCAAAAATTATTTCTTGGCACACGTCGCCGAAAATAATTCAAAATGTGTCATCTGACACGCTTGGTAGAGTTTCCAGAATGCCTCATGAGACACACTGTGACTCTTTCAAATTAGATTTTTCGCAAATCTAATCAGCCAATGTTAAGTGTGCATTGGAAAAAAGAACCCCCCACCCCGCCCCGCGCCCCCCCCCCAAAAAAAAGGATCCACACAATCCTTTCTTTTTGTTTTCCTCTGAGCCCGTAAGAGTCAACGCAGTAAATGTGTAAATTCCTTCATTAAATGTTTTATGAATTCAACGTGTCGGCGGCGCCTGAAATAGAGTCCGGGACGACCTGGCACTTAAAGCCAATTTAGCAGACTCGCTTGTTAGATACGGCAGCTGAAGAACGAGAGGACGGCGCTTCCCAAAACAAAGCAGTGGCACAACCGAGTCATCACTCAGCATTAATGTCACTGGCAAGCTTTCTTTTTATGCTCGGATGACCTTATAGTTTATCACCAAAGTTGTATAGCCGTCAGGATTTCGGTTACACCGACAGAGGCCGCCAAGCCCGGAGACCAGTGGTCCCAAATCACCGGTCCGCGGACCGGTATCGGGCCACGGCCCAGTTGGGACCGGGCCGCACAAGCGCAGACCTGCGAGCTGTGAGCAAATTGACTCCATCAGACGTGGCGAGATTTTGCGCCACTCTAGCCAATCCGAGTCCCGCTTCTAAAATCGGTTTGTAAGGTGAAATGAACACAATCCGTCAGTCAACGAAAGAAGAAGCAGTCAACAGAAAGTAATCAGAACAAATGAACCAAACGTAAGGCTATAAACGCGTAGCTGACGGGCAGCCGTGACTTCTGAAGATGAAGCCATTTTGACAAGAGAAGTTCCTCCCGTAGCGACGTGGAGGAGGAAGCTGTAGAGCGATAAAAGAAACCGGTTGAATCGTTTGTACATGTAGCAAAAATGCGAGCGGAGTTTTCACAGCCTGGCCACGTAAGGAGTCGCACTTTAGGGATGAAAGCAGCGATCAATCGTGTCATCTCTGGATCAGTCGCATTTGCAAGTAGCAACGATGCTAACGCCACATGTTGGATCATAACTTACACGGGATTACGTTTACATTATAAGGCATATTTATTCATTCCTGATTAGTTCTTTGTACTGTAGTTCACGGTGTTAGTTTATGTTATTCTGCCTTTGTCGTACTATTGAGTAAGACCGCTTGAAAATGAATGACATTTGTTCATAAAATGTCTCCAGACCCAATAATTATCTTTCTTGTCATTCTCGGTGCTTTCAAACGGGCAATTGAAAATGATTGCCGGTCCGCGAACAGCGTCTACTTGTCTCAACCGGTGCGCGACACAAAAAAACTTTGGGGACCGCTGCCGTAGACGACGAGACCAGTGGACTCGCGCTTTGTATGGTGATCCACTGCAATTGACATGCTCAACTTTGGATATCGGAGGGATACGTGGAAACCGATCAACTCCATTTTTTTTTTTTTTTAAGACTGAACTGTGGCGGCAATGAGGTCATACAAGCAACGATTGATAAAACTTGACCTTTGCCAAAGACTGTCAGGTGATTTTTTGCATGACATCCCCCCCGACACCCACCACGTGATCCATCAGTGAAATAAACGTTTTTGCTCCCAATTCTCTCAATAAAGGCTTTGATAACAGAAAACAACTTGTGACTGAAAAACTCGCCCTCGGGCGTGACGTAAATGACTAAGGAAGCGTTTGAAAAAAAGAAAAAATAAATAATCATTTCAAACCACGGAGAAGTTGCGTCCTGTGCTTTTCTTGACATCCATCCAGCCTGTTGTGCTCTGACAGAGAAATTTTAAGTAGACTGAAGTATTGAGTAGCTTATCTAAATCCTCTGCTTGCAATTTTTGCAGCTGTGTTTTGATTCTCTTTTTTTTTTCCCCCCCGCAGCTCCCTTTTCTCCTTTTCTGCTATTGTTTGTTTTGCGGGGCTACGTTCCTCTTGATCAAGTCAAAGAGTCGAATGCTCATGGGGTTCATGTCTGCAGATTGCCTTGGCCACTCCGAAAGCTTCCGCTCCCTTTTTCGCCCTGATGAACTCCTTTGTAATTTTGGCTGTAGCTTTTTGGGTCATTTCTGCTATTGTTTGTTTTGCGGGGCTACGCTCCTCTTGATCAAGTCGAAGAGTCGAATGCTCATGGGGTTCATGTCTGCAGATCCACGACGCATCCGAACGGAGGTGTTTCAAAACGCTGGAGTTTTTTTTCCATAGCATTCGTTTTAGGGCCAACAATACGTGGTTTTCGTCTTTTTAAAATGAAATCAAAACCCTGAGAAAGCCTGAAAAATAGATTCACTGCTGTCTTATCGTTTTTCTTATTATTATTATTATTATTATTATTGTTATTGCAGCAACTCATTTTGTCAAGGGGTTTTCTAAACTGCACTTTACTCAACAGGAGCCAAAAAATGGTGCCTCGGTTTACTGGATTAGCGATTGCAGTCATAAAATGCTGTCAAGTGCACCAAATCCAACTTTGATTGGTCTTTGGTGAGAAGGCCCCATGAAGTCAAGGTTTAGCTGCCAAACGTTCAGGGAGGACAATATACTCATAGATTTAGCACAGGGGTGCCCAATACGTCGGATGGAGATCGACCGCTGGCCCGCAAACTGATCCCGAGTCGATCGCGAGGAGTGTTAAAGGAAATGGAAAAAAAATAGATTTGCGTGTCTGTGTACGTGTTATTAATAGTACGTATGTTTAGGTTAGTGCACACTGCCCCTTAAGCGTCAAAATAAAAAGAAAAAGCAGGTCACCTTTAAGTTTGGGTGGCGCATGATCTGCATCACCGGAAGTTGCTAGCGGTGATTCGCCGTCTGTGATGTATTTCTTTTTATGATGACGAGGATTATTATTATTGTTCTCATTCAAAGTTTGTTTCATTTACAAATCACCGACGGCACTGGCAAAGAACGGCAATCTGGAGCGCCAGGAGAAGCCTTTTAAAACGTGCTGTTTCGTTCATGTTAGGGTCTGTTATGGCAGTCGCTCTTCATGGCATGCGTGCGTGCGTGCGTGCGTGCGTATGCGTGCACATATGGTAGCGGGTCAATCGCGAGAGGTCGTTCGCTTGAAAAGTAGAGCCGCGGTCCAAAATGGTTGGGCACGCCCCCTTTTCGCACATCAACGTGGCTCACTATTTAGTAGTGAAAATTGCGACGGTTGATTTTGTGCTGAGATACCGCGTCCAAAATGCAGGTGTCCACTCGCAAATTGTGCGGAACCACGACGAGGAAAATCGAGCTTTTCCGCTCGTGTAAACTGATGGCGCGTCTCGCGTGGCACCACTGTCTCTTGTATCGAACCGCGGACTCGTGAACCATATTTGATATGTCTCGGTGAAGCACCAGCAGGCGGCTTGCATTTGCGAGTGTTTGCTCTCGTTCAAGTTATTGCTGCGCTGTGCCCCTGCCTCCATAACACCACTTCTGTCCGCACGAGCTGTGAATTTTGAGCTCACTCAGTACTCTGCAGTATATAATAAACCACGTCAAAATTCAATTTTAAAATCTCCACACACACCAAAAAAAAAAATCGCGACATTCATTCAGTCATTCATTGTTTACGTGGCGCTCAATCACAGCAACAGCGCATGAATCCATAAAAAATGATGCAAAGTATCGCATTGGCTTTATTGATTTATTTCAGTTCACAAACATCATAACTTGCCTTTTACGCACTTGGATATAAACGTTAGTTTGAATTTGTTCAAAAATCATTTAATTATAGTCCCTTATTCTTCCCAGAGCGCTAAAAATATATTTATGACTTCTCAATTAAATGTTCATTCTCCTGTGGGCTTCCGCTCACAGCAGACGCAGCATCTTGTTAAATCGCAGGAACGAGCAACCTTGGCAGTTAATTAATTGCGTGCGAAGACGAGACAGCAACACGCCTTTCAAAGGCAAAAACTTTGAGGGTGATCAGCTATGTCAAAAATGGCACTTGGAGACCTCGGTTGGCGACGGCATTCCAAAAATTCCGCGACGGCCACTCTGCTAAGAAAACACCGTTTCATATGAGTTGCTACTTTATTTCGGTTCAAGTAGATTTGGTGTATGTTGATGTCATTGAATGTTTGGTGGATAAAAGAGAAATCTTGCCACCGGTTTTGCCCGCATCCAAATTATTCCAATAGCTTAGTTGGAACTGAATGTCATGTTTTTGTTCCACCATAAGCAACACAGCCCACATCCAACACTATGCGGGTGTTATTCCCGCGCGTGAACATGGCCGGGCGCACCTGCTCGAATTTGATTAAACGGCATCGTCAGATCGTTGATGTATTTATTATTTTTTTTTTTTACATTTTTTTTTTTTCCAACTGCAGAGTCATCTGCCACCGTGCTCCCAAGAGCCGAGGTAATAGTGAAGAGAAGCTCCCCTCTTTCCGAAGCAACTCATGTTTACTCTTATGCAGAATGACAAGCACAAGCAGAGAACGTGACATCGTGCGAGTGTAAATTAGGTCCCCTGTCTTCCCTACATTAATTATGAATTAAGTATAATTGCGGTGGGATTTGCCAAAGTCAATTCGTTTGGACTGACTGTAATGTGAAGGCGGTCCTTGCTAACAAGCTCTAAGTATTGTTTTTAAGAGGAGCCGTGTCGTTCTCACCGGCTAGTGAAGAACAACAAGAGGCAAGGTGTGCAGTTTTGTTTTGTTTTTTTCAGTTTGCGGCAAAATGAATGAGCGTTAAAGCGGCACGCACTAATGGTTTCTAAGCCTTAAAAGCTTTTCTTATTGTACACTCTTATTGTACATTTCACTCATTCAGTTGTACGCGGTACAACTGAATACGTGAAATGAGCGAGGACACGGAGATTGATGAGCAGCTGATCTTAATCCAAACACACATGAGACTTGCTCCAGTGGGAGGGAAGCTTTCTGTCAATTTGAAGGCTCATATGTACCTTGAAGAAGAAATGTGCCTCAGTTACCCGTTTTCGGAGGTGCTGGTTCTCTCAACGCAATAACGCATTTCGATTGTTGTTGGTAATTGTGACGCAAACTTCACCGGGGAGAAAAATGTCAGCACCTGGACGCCAACAAACCCGGAGCACATGAGTCAGAACCTCTTAGTGGAAAACAACTCGAGTGATTCATATTGCTTTAGCGCCTGTTGGGTGACGCCTGTTATTTGATAAAGCACATTTTTCGTTGCAAATTTAGTCCGCGGGAAATTGAATAAAGAAATACCGTAATGGAGAACTACAGTGAGATGGCAAGAACCCAAGCAGACGGGGTCGATTCAATGCGTCCCCCTTTTCATCAACAAGGATGTACACCGACCGCAATGTGGGGCGATCACATCAATGACTCAAGACCCTTTCTCCACGCAACATAAGATCAGCTTAAGTACTGCACCAAGCGGGGGAACTCCTTGACACCGTGTTAATTCATCTGAGAACATGCTAGCAGTCTTCGATGCCGCTGTTTATTTCAGGCTTCACGTGGACTTAGCCGTTAACTTCTTCATGTCTCTGTGTGAACAATGGCGTCTATGAACTCAAGTAAGTGCAGCTCTGACTATTCATTTTTCCTCATACCAAAAGCGAGGCATGCTTGTGGAGGCTCTCAGTCGTACAGGAAAGTTCCATCGTAGAAAGGGTTCTGTCAGTCGTCATCTGTACTTGTGGGTAAAAAACAAAAAACAAAAAACAAAAAAACTGTAATCTGATAAACTGTCCACTGTAATAACCGCTGTCCCTGAAAGGGTTAAAAGCATGATTCACAATTTTGTTTTTGTTTGTTTTTTTCCTTTTTTGTTTTTTTTTTTTTTTTTTGTTTTTTGTTTTTTGTTTTTTACCCACAAGTACAGATGACGACTGACAGAACCCTTTCTACGATGAAAAAAGCGAGGCATGAATATGTCTTAAGTGGACGGAGTACCCGGCGCGCTAATTGGGGCACGGTTTCCTAGTCAATGCACGGACACCCTCTTTGTCTCACGTAATTGTGTGGAATGGTCAAACAACACGGTAAGCTAGTGCTGACTGGATACTATGAACTCAAACATATATTGCAGCATTGGATGAAAAAGACCACCGCTATGGGAATCGTTTTACATCTGTGACAATTGCCCACTGACGTCAGACTACAGAGTCATCCAGGTCAGACTGAACTTCAGATTGCCAATAAACGAGTTGCGGAAATGGCACGAGGAAAGTCGCCACGGCTATTTCCTGTGAGAAACACGCAGCGAGCAATCATCAATCACAAATCAATCTCATCAAACTCCAACTTTGTAAATGTATTCGTAAATGTAAATTTTGCTGAACGTGACGGACAGATGACAAGCATCATGGCTCGACTCACGACTTGACTCGTATTCTTCCCAAACGATCGTATTTGCGATAACAGAGCATTCAATTACAGACGGACTCGGATGAAATCAATGTGTAGATGATAGAAATGGTCGTTCATTTACAATCATCAATGAGGAATGCAAAGAGGAGGCAATTCAACCGGAGATTGTGTGCCAATTCGTATTGATTGCAATTTAAACTAACAGAAAACAGGGAGGCAAGGACTCAAAGTCCAATCATGATGTATACAAATAATCGCCGGCCTAAAAAAAAAAAAAAAAAAAAAAAAAAAAAAAAAAAAGAAGACGTATCACTCATTGAGCGACCTCAGCACTTGCAGTGAAGTGGACCAATTATCATGACAAGAGAGATGCAAGACTGTCCTGTGAAGGGCAATTTCCCCTCAGTGAGGTAATAATGAGCCTTTCATCCTCTTGTCTTGGCCCGTTACCCTTGACAACCATACACACTGAAACATGGCAGCTGAAGTACTGCCATACAAAGCAAAGCACGAAGTATTAGCGCTTTCACAGCCAGGCCATCCGCCGTGCGAACCACGATGGCGGTCCTGTCTTTATTCTTAGCCATTCTGAATGGTATGCTTGGTTTAGGTTTTTTTTGTGTTTTTGTTTTGTTTTTTTTTAATCTATTCTAAAGAAATTCTGTTCGATACTGTTCCAAACCTTAATGGACAGAATTTTTAAGCACAGCCGAAGCAGTGAGGGGGGTCCGCTTTGGTGGGCTGAGTACTGCATCTCTTATCTCATACTTTTTGTAGATGATGCGGTACTGATGGCTCCTTCAAGTTAGGATCTCCAACTCTCAATGGGAAAATTTGCAGCCGAGTGTGAAGCGGTTGGGATGAAAATCAGCACCGCCAAATCGGTGGTCCTCAGTCGGAAAACTGTGGAGTGCCCTCTCTAGGTCGAGGAGTGGAGGAGTTTAAGGATCGTGGGGTTTTGTGCACGAGTGAGGACAGGAGGGAGCGGGAGATTGACAGGCGGATCGGTCCAGCATCTGTTGTGATGCGGACTCTGTATCGGTCCGTCGTGGTGAAGAAGGAGCTGAGCCGAAAGGCGAAGCTCTCGATTTACCGGTCGATCTACGTTCCTACCCTCACCTGTGGTCGCGAGCTGTGGGTCGTGACCGAAAAAAGGAGATCCTGGATAGAAGTGGCCGAAATGAGTTTTCTCCGGGCTCTCCCTTATAGAGAAGGTGAGAAGCCCGGACATCCGGCAGGGGCTCAGTGTCCAGCCGCTTCTTCTCCACATCGAGAGGAGCTAGATGAGTTGGCTCGGGCATCTGATTAGGAAGCCTCCTGGAGGCCACCCCGGGGAGGTGTCCCGGGCAGGAGGCTCTGACCCAGGACACGCCGGAGAGGCAAAGTCTCCTGGCTGGGCTGGAAAAGCCTTGAGATCCCTCGGGAAGAGCTGGAAGAAGTGGCTGGGGAGAGGGAAGTCTGGATTTCCCTGCTAAAGCTGTTGGCCCAGCATCCCGACCCCCCAGATAAGTGGTAGAAAACGGATGGATGGATGGATGGGTTAAGGAAATAGCTCATTTGAATTGCTGCTTTATTTGTAAGAACATCTTTTGTCCATTGGTCTTC